CCAGTGCTTTTCATGCCTCATAACTACCCTGTGAGACCTTTATGGCTTAGGACCAGATTCTCCACGTATGCCTGCTTGGAGACTCTTTTCTCCAGCCTGAGGTACCCAGCAAAGGGATTATTATTTTTTTCTCCAGTGCTGGCATCCTGGATATGGAATGCTCTCCCCAACCTTATTGTTTCCCCAGGCTTTTACACTTTTATTTCCCTTTCCCTATTACTCTGGTTTTGTATTTTATTTTTTAAAATGTAGCTTTTATGGATTTACTGTTTTTCAATTTCAGTTTTAATATTTCGTGGTAATATTTCATTTTAAGATGGCCTAATAATTTGACTGAAGGGCAGGATGTAAACCTTGATATTATATAAATAAATGAGGTGGTTAAGCTGAGAGGGAGGGACTGATAAAAGCTCAGCCAATGTGTACCCTTGCTTGGTGGATATTGGAACTTGGCTGTCTCCAACCCTAGTTCTTGATGCCAGCTGCTGTACCACAGCTCACTTTTGTGGGATTTAAGCAGCTTAGCAGTGTGCAGCGAGAGAGAATGGCAAAGTTTCTGTTGTTTATGTGGAGGAAGAAAGCACAAAAAACTCTCTGTGTCCTCCATTGGTAGCACTCAAGATGGAAAGGGATCGTGAATGCAGTCAAGAAATGAGGCAAAGAAACCCAAAGCAGACTTAAGAAGATAATGACTTTGTCATTGTGGCAGGAGGTCTGCAAAAACACAACAACCCATGGAAGTAAGAATTGATACTTCACTTGTGACATTTGAAGCTGCCCTCTTAGTATTAGTAACCAAAGCAAATTTAACATGCTTGTAATTGGTGTTTTCCAGGTTTTCCCTTTTTGAATGGCACACCCATAGGCTACATTACAAGCTGCTTCTGAAATTCCTCAAGCTTTCAGAAGAAGTTTGCTATATAGCCTGAGCAGGTGTTGTTCAAGACAGCCCAAGCCCCTTTGAGTTGTATAGATTGTTGGACCCTCATCCAGGGCGATGTGACTTACATTGCTTTGGGTCAAGGTGAAAATGTCTACTCTTGGTTTTGAGCTTAAGAGGCACAGCAAGTAAAAGGATGAGACTGCTGAAAACATTAGATTTGGGGTAATTCAGCAAAAAATGAATATATATAATTCACTTCCAGGTAAAACTTTGTTACCTTTGAGACAGATGCAGAAATATTTACTGAAACATTGCATTATTCATAATATATAGTGATGGGTTGTATTAAATGCTAATCCTACTCAGACAAAACCCAGTAAACCTAATGGACAAGACTCCAAGGCCTAACTTGGGTTAATTAATTTCTGTGCATCTACTCTGACTATGACTGTCAACAGAATTATTTTTGAAATGCATAATATTTTATGCATAGAGTTAATTAAATTAAAATTAATTTCTCCTGAACCAACCATGGAGATAAATGGATGTTTACTGGTAACTAAAACAATTTTGTCTAGACTTTGGCAGTGGTTATATATTCATTTATTTCAGAGGCCTGGGAATTTTAGCAGTTGCAGCCCTGCCACTCACAAGGACAAGATGTCCATAACATTTCATCTCCGCAAGTCAGGAGAAATTATTTCTAGGTCACCACCGAAAAAGATCATAAGCACAATTTCATTTCAACGCTCCGCTCCGCAGTTTTGGTTTTCATGCATTATAATTTCAAAACCCATAGCTGGGCATTTATTTTTTTTATTAGGACCAGCCAAAACGTCACAAAAGAAGCAACCAGGCTTTTGAATTCACCAAACCCTTCATCAGACTGGATGGCGAACAAAATGGTGAAAGGAGAGGAAACTATCTTGATACCAAGGCCACAAAGTTTGCATTTAGTCAGAGTCTTGAGATAAGAGCGGAGGAGGAGATGGCAGGCTTAATTGGATTAGACTGTACTACGGGATCTCACGCCCACAGAGACCTTCCCTTGTGCCTGCAGGGGTCTCTCCTCCCCTTCCCTCTGCTGAAATGAGGAATTGAAAGAAGCATTCTATTATAGCCAACAGAATCGGTTGCACTGTGTGTTTGGTTGTGGTATGTGTGGCTCCTATGGCAGTTTCTCTGGTTTAGAAACGTGCCCCACAAACCCCAAAAGGCTGGCAACCCCCCCGCTATACTAGATGCTACGCAGGTCTCAGGTTGCCGCTACACGGGACAAAGAAACCACTCACATTTACCTCTGGTCTCTCCCACTTTCCATCTCTGGCCCTGCCCATCGCTGATGGACATGTGGTCCATGGAAGGTTACTGATGCAGGAATACCACCCTCAGGCTGAAAAACACCCCCCACTCCTACAATATGGGTTCTAGATCTCAAAAATCAAAATACGAGATGCTCATATAAGCCAGGCATAGGCAAAGCCAGCCCTCCAGGTGGGTTGAGACTACAATTTCCATCATCCCTGACCACTGGTCCTGTTAGCTAGGGATGATGGGAGTTGTAGTCCCAAAACATCTGGAGGGCTGGCTTTGCCTATGCCTGATATAAGCGTTCACACCCTGTTGGCTGTGACACAAGTATGATATTCCACACACAAAATACTTATTATTCGAGAAAATTCACAATGCATGGGAGAAACTCGCTGTACAAAAAGCCCAGAATTAACGTATGATGTTAACTGTGCATACTCTTTTCATTTATACCTCTGATAGTCTTACTGGCTGAAAAACAGTTCAAAGAACCTCCAGAATTGTTGGGTTTCTTTAAAACTGGAATTTAAGATGCTATTAGGTATGTGTGAGCTTTTTGGTTGACCCCTTGGGATGAGGCAGATCCAAATGGGGCAAATCCAAGGGAATAAAATCTGCTCCTAGTTTAAAGAGAGACAGACTTCTACGTGTAAAACTGTTACATGCTGCTCGCACTGAGGGGTGTTTGCCAAAAACTCCCACGGATTTCAATAGGGCCAGGATTTCATCCCACACAACCTCAAAGCAATACAATAAACATATAAAACTGTTTTTCACCCATACCAAAATAAAAACGTTCGTATTTCTAGCTCAGTCCATGCTGAAGCTTTAGAAAGCAATCGTTTCCGGATAAATACGCGACTGTTGTGCTTATTAGTTATTACGTAACAAGATCTGACTTATGCTGACATATGGGAGAACCTGCATTCTCTTCTCCAAGGCATTTAAGGGATGTGTGTGCCCATTATTCCAACTAATTAGCACTCGCACATGGCCAGAGCCCTAAGAAGTCCTGGTAGATAAGTTATGCTGGGAATTGGGCAATATGAGTGTACATTCTTTTTTAGTTCTCCTGGACCTCTCAGCAGACTTAATACCACTCACTGACCATGGTATTCTTCTGGATTGTCTAGAGCAATGTTTCCCAAGTTGGGAAACTACAGTTCCCATGGACTACAGTTCCCATGATCCTTGACCAGGGGCATCTTACCCATAGAGGCTAGTGGTGTGGAGCACCAAGTTCTGGAGGGCACCAGGGAAGAGGCAGAGGCTGGATGCAGTGCCTCCTGGCATCAGCTCGCCGCCCTTGCCCACCTCTGCCATGCCACACTGAAGCAGTGTCGCACCCACAGCCTCCGTCTGCCATGGCCACCACAGCACAAGGCGGCCAACTGAGCCGTGAGAGGAGCTGCCCTCCAGCCACTGCCAGCCTCCTCCAGCCCCGCCGGCAGCGCTGTCCTCCCTAAAAAACTCTGGGAAATGGGGGGGGGCCACCGGAGAGGGCTTTGCATCATGGCACTGGATATGCTTAAGATGGCCCTGGCCCCTGACCACTGGTCCTGCTAGCTGGGGATGATGGGAGTTGTAGTCCCAAAGCAGCTGGAGACCCAAGTTTGGGAAACATAGGTCTAGGCTTTGGGCTGCTAAGATCTAGTGTTATTTCTATCATAACTCTGAGACCCACCAGCTAAGAGGGCTTGGGGCAAAAGACACACGCTAACTAAGGAATTAATAATTCTGAGCCTAGATAAACTTGTTCTGAGTCTCAGAACTGAACGGAGCTCAAAATTATTCTGTATAAAAAGGCCACTCTTGCTTACCCTGAGCTGTCCTCGTTTCAGCAGCTTATTTTAGGTCAGGGAAGAGTCATTTCGTTGCTGCTATTAATAATCAATTTTGGGCCATAAATTCTTGCTGATCTACTTCAGATCACCCTGCTAGCTACCTCCTGTCCACTCCTGGTTTAGACTGGTGGCATTGGAGGTACTGTTTTATGGTGGTTCCGGTCCTTCCTACAGGTCAGATTTCTGTAGGAGGTGCTGGAGAACTCCTGCTTGATGCCTTTCACGTCTCTCAGCATTTTCCTATTGTCAACTATGCTTCTCAACGGCCACGGGAAACTGTTGTGGAGGCTGCCGAAATATTTTGAGCTTTTTGTCATCACTAGGCAGACATCATGGTGCATCTCCCAATCTCTCTCTGTCTCTCTCTCTCTCTCTTACACACACACACACACACTTCCATCTCAAACTAGGGACACTGGAGGTTTTGAACAGATTAGAGCAAGTAATAGGATAAATGTGACCAAACAAACTGAAACTTAATCCAGACAAGACAGAGGTACTCCTGGTCAGCAGAACACTGCAAAGGAAACATCTCGTTGGTGTTTTTGCTCTTTGGGGTGTACGGTATATATGTGAGTGTAGATCACAAGAGTAACCTGCATTTTGGGGCATTCCCTGGCACTGTGTCACGGCAAATTCCTACATTGCAAAACTTACCACCGCACCGCTGTCCATACAAAGTAGGAGGTCACCTTCAGAGAGTGTGAGGAGCCCAAAGTCACAACCACTGGCTCTTACCTGTTATGATTATATATTGTTTTTAAACAACGGAATCTGCATTGAGCATTCCTTATGGGGCGGAAGGGAGGTTGAATGAATGAATGAGCACAACATGGGAGGAGACTGTGGCGACCATTCTCTCCAGGCGCTGCTCTAGGCACTTCCCTCCTTTTTCTGTTTTGTTTGGAATGGGCATATGGAGCAGCCATAAAGGGAAAACGTGCGTACAAAATGTCAAACTCGCTCCTGCTGCTTTCCACTGCAGAGGTACCGCGACGGCTGACAGTTAATTTTGCAAATAAAAAAAATGTAGACGGGAGCCTCAATGTTAAATCATAAGGACTAGTTAAGGGCTCCGCCATTGAGTCTTCGAGTCCTCGGGAAGTGTCAACACTCACCCCGACCCTGCGCGCCTTTGTCTAGGATCAAGTTTGGAAGCGCGCAGGCTTAGCAGCCTGCAGGTTCTCGGGAGCGAAAGCGCACATGCGCTCAGGAGGAAGAGTGTTTGGGCACCGACCCACTTCCAGACCGACCCCATCAGCGGCGGCGGCGGCGGCGGGATCGACTTGAAAGCAAGGCTGGCTGCCGCTTTCTCCTCACACTCGCCGGCGTGTGGGCGTGTTTCTGGGCCGCCGCCTCCTTCGCTTTCCTCCGCCTCTCCAAGTTTGTGGCTGTTTTTCAAACAGGCAGCAGCCTCCTCGCTCGAGTCCCGCCTCAGCAGCAAGCGGCGGCGGCAGCGCCCTGGGTTGTTCCCCTCAGGCGTGGCCGGAGAGCGCCATGAAGAGCCGGCGGCGCTGGAGGTGGCGCTGGGAGCACCGCGGCTTCGCGCTGGGCTTGGCGCTCTACACGCTGCTGCTCCTGCTGCTGGTGTCTTACATGCTGGACTACGGCGCCAGGAGAGGGCGCGCGGGAAAGGAGCAGCCGCCGCCGCCCCCACCGCTGCCCCGACCTCGAGGAGGCGCTCGGGGACTGGGCGTGGGAAGGGCAGCCACCGCCGGCACCGCCACCGGGAGAAGCCGCCGCTCCGCCCGCGCCCAGGCACGAAGCGAAGAGGAACGAGTCTGAGGACTCCGACGAAGCCGGCCCGGGGAGCCGGGCGGGCGGGAAGCGCCACATCTACTTGCACGCCACCTGGCGCACGGGCTCGTCGTTCCTGGGCGAGCTGTTCAACCAGCACCCGGACGTCTTCTACCTGTACGAGCCCATGTGGCACATGTGGCAGGCGCTGTACCCGGGCGACGCGCTGAGCCTGCAGGGCGCGCTGCGAGACATGGTGCGCTCGCTCTTCCGATGCGACTTCTCGGTCCTGCGCCTTTACGCCGCGCCGCCGGGGCCCCGAGACCCGCTGGCGCCCTTCTTGCCCGGCGGCGGCGGCGGCGGCGGCGTCAACCTCAGCACGGCCAGCATCTTCGGCTGGAGGACCAACAAGGTGATCTGCTCCGCGCCGCTGTGCCCCGCGGCGCCCCGGGCCCGCTCCGACGTGGGCCTGGTGGACGGCGCCGCTTGCGAGCGCAGCTGCCCTCCGCGGGCGCTGCGGGACTTGGAGGCCGAGTGCCGAAAGTACCCGGTGATGGTGATCAAGGACGTGAGGCTGCTGGAGCTGGGCGCGCTGCTGCCGCTGCTGCGCGACCCGGAGCTGGACCTGCGCGTGGTGCAGCTCTTCCGCGACCCGCGCGCCGTCCACAACTCGCGCCTCAAGGCCAAGCAGGCGCTGCTGCGGGAGAGCATCCAGGTGCTGCGGAGCCGCCACCGCGCCGCCGAGCCCCGGGGACTCCCCCGCCGCCACCCTCTGCTGCCCCCCGGCGCCGCGGCGGCTCTGGCCGGGGTCCACCCTCGCCAGCAGCACCGCGCCGAGTTCTTCCTGGGCGGCGCCCTCGAGGTGATCTGCCAGGCCTGGCTGCGCGACCTGCTCTTCTCCCGCCGCGCGCCGGCCTGGCTGCGCGCGCGCTACACGCAGCTGCGCTACGAGGACCTGGTGCTGGAGCCGCGCGCCCAGCTGCGCCGGCTGCTGCGCTTCGCCGACCTGCCGTCGCCGCCCGCGCTCGAGGACTTCGTGCTCAACATGACGCGCGGCGCCGCCTACTCCTCCGAGCGCCCCTTCCTCATCTCCGCCCGCGACGCGCGCGAAGCCATCCACGCCTGGCGGGAGCGCCTCAGCCGCGAGCAGGTGCGCGAGGTGGAGGCGGCCTGCTGGGAGCCCATGCGCCTGCTCGCCTACCCGCTCAGCGGCCAGGAGGACGGCGACCGGCAGGAGGCCTCCAGGGGGCGCCCCAGCCCTCCTCATCCAGGTAGCCTCCGACCCACCTCCGGTCCCTTTGACCCTCCCTTGGGCATCTTTCTCCCCAAGGGGCGAAGAGAGTGAGGCGGCTTGCTACTTGAGTTTGTGGTTCTCTAGCAGGCAGGCATTAAGGCCACAGGAGAATTGCCAGGGGGAAAGGATAGCTGCCCCTGTTGGGACATGGGGCATAGGTACCAACTCCCTGGGGACCTGGGTGCCCAAGCACCCACAAAATACCCCATGAAGGGGCCAGGCACCCACAAATTTCAGTGCCAGGACCATGCATGCTGCATGTCACGCACGGTTGCGGGGCCAAGCTGACGCTCCTGGCATGGGGAGAGCGGTGTGTGATCTAGGGGGGACCTGTGTGGTCCAAATTTTCATTGCTGATGTCTGGATTTGGTCCCAGCCACATAAGGAAGAGGGTTAATCCCACTCTGCAGAAAAAGGGAGGAACTGTGCCACTCCAAATGTTTGTCTAGGTGCAAGAATATCTCCTTTCCTGTTAAAACTCTGTAACAGTAGTGTGCATCCAGGCCTCTTTACCTGCAGTAAGGTTCACTAAAAGGATTGGCATTGGTAGACTCTTAAAATGGATGAAATGCACACCGCCACCCTTGATCTCTGCTTTTTGTGAGCTGCCTTGTTCTTTTTCCATTCACACCAGAAGTTAAGTCCACTGAACCCAGTTCCACTTAGGCTGCAAGGAAATGATACTGGCTATAAGGCAAGTCACGTGACCTGAGAGCTAATTGGACAGTGCTGTTCACCAGCCGTTCATCACAGGTGGTCGCACCAGGAGCAGCCAATGTGATGTTGTCTGAAAAGGGATGTATGTACACCATACATTGGATTTGCTGCTCCGTAACATACTGTCTTTATTTCTTGTTTAAAGTATTTCCGTACCACCGTTCAATAAAACTGATCTGAGAGCACCATTAAAATGTCACAGCAACAAAACAGCTGGGAGATGAAACATGACCATCAGCAAAATCTAAAAATGTATAGAGTTTAAGAGCCTGAGAATGAAAAGGGTGGGGTTTTTTTAACCTGATGCTTGAAAGAAAGCAGTGCTGGTACCAGGCAAGCCTCCCCGTTGAGGCAGTTCCACAGATGTGTGCAAAACATCACTTCTCTTTTTGGTTTGCAGCTGCTTTGCCATCAGCAAAGATGGAACAGAGAGGGAGAGGGAGCAGGAGAGAGAGAGAGAGATGAGTTAAAGGTATGGGTAGGATGGTTCAGTTAACTGGGTCACAAGCTTTTTAAGGTTTTAAAAGTCAGGCTTTGAAATGAGCTTGGAAGCAAACTAATGCAGCTCTTTTGGTGGTGGTGACACAAGAGTCACATACGCTTGCCAGAATTATATTCTGTAGTAAACGAAGCTTCAATTCTGTCTTTAAAAGCCGACCCACATATAATTCATTTTACAGTACCTAATCCAGGCAGAATTATATGCAAATCAGCATTCATTAGTGAGGGGGAAGCACTTTGCACCTGCACAAAGTGGGAGACTGTTTATTATTGTATATACGTGTCAGAACTAACCGGGCAACCCTAGCCATGCCTACTCAGAAGCAAGTTGAGTTTTCCCAGGTAAATGGTGTTGGGATTACATCCTTAACTCTCAGACATGCCGCCCCAAGCCCAATCCTTATGCACATTCACTTAGAAGTAAATACTCATCATTAGGATTGCAGACTGAGCACAGTAAATGAGAAGATTGGGAGGAGCACAATATGCTCCTCAGTCTAATAGTTAAGGCTAGTTGAGAAGAAAGATCAAAGGTTGTTTTAAGAGAATAGGGCTTGTGTCCAAAGCTCCATAACTGATTAGTGCAGTGTCTGAAACTAGTTCATGCTGAGCAGGGAAGTAAGTCCCACGGGTTTCAATGTGACTCATAAGTGTTCATGCATCATATTGCAGGCTGAATTCTCTTGGGGAGGGGGGAATGCAGATCACACTTTGAAGTTTTGAGAACAATACAGCAAAAAGCAAACTAACGCATATCTGTTTCCGAAAAGTTGAAAGCCATACCGCTGGATTGGTTGGTGCAACTGAGCAGGAGAGAAACAGTGTAAAGAAAAAGTCTATAAAAGGCAGATACGCTGATCCTATTGAAATGAGCAGTAAAGCTCACACTGAACTGATTGTTCCTTTTGGAAACAAATTTATGCTGCTGGTGATATTTGTAATGTGAAACTGGTGTTTTCACCTGTGACACTTTTTCTACCCATTGGTGTAGGTGGTATAGCATAAGACAGTATAAAACTGTGTAGGTTATGAAACAGACAGATAAGGGACAGGGAAACTTTTGCTTGTGTAGACCCTCAGTTAACATTTGGTTACATTGAGGTTTGGAAGGAACTTGGCAGTTAATAAAACATCTGAGGGATTTATGTTTTTGATTATTGTTTTAAAAAAACTTAGTTTCTTTGGAAAAGTAAAGATTGTAGGAGTTTTGTTTGTTTAATAGAGTCTTACCTAGTATGGATTTGTCAGAGAGAGCATATATTTTAATGTATATTTAAGTAAACTACTTAGAGATGTTGGTGACTGGGTGATATATAAGCCCCGTTAAATAAAAAAAATTAAGTAAGTAATGCTATATTGAATGAATTGTAAAGACTACTGAGAAACAGAGTATCAGTGAAGCTGGTGGCCATGATTCATTTCCTTCAGAATAGGCTTGTTTTCAGGGGATCCATGGACTCTCAAGGGGGAAGAGCTAACTTCCCCGGCTTCCTGACTGATGCACAGGATTTGCATCCTATTGCTACAACAACATCCTCTCAGATTTTAAACGCTCTCTGGCATACAAACAAATCCAAATGCTTCCTAACAGTTTCAAATTAACCTTGGCAAGCTTGGTGAGAAAGCTTTTCCATTTGTGTAACTATTGCAGGCTAAAATTTGAACTGATGCAGTTTTTCTGGGTGAAACCCTAGGGGTTTTTGGGGGGATATTTTAATAAACCTGCAGAGGGTATTTAAGGTTACAAACCCATTTTATATAGCTGCTTCTTTGATACAGAAATCAGACTAGGAACCTCAAATAAGAATCAGCCAATGCATTAACATTGCTGGGGAGAAAGATAGCTGAGAAATCGCTATTGCCACCATCGTAGAAGGAAGCTTTGGAACCTGACTGTAGTTTTTGATTATTATGGTATAGTATGTTACACTACAGAGAACATCAGTAGATCCAGTTATGACTTTTGACGATCCAATTCTGCGCATACTTATTTGGAAATCTGCAGTTACATGCGCACATGGAATTGAGCCACGTTGAACTCAGTGGGACTTGGTGATTAAACATGCATAGGGTCAGCTCACCCATCTCTTGATCTTTGTGGAGTTTGTCTCCGAGCTGGTGTACTGAGGCAGGATTGCAGTTAAGGGCTGCAAATTTCACAGCACAATCCTCGATCAACATCTACTCGGAAGAAAGACCTCATCAAATTGAGTATCACGGATTCCCAGTAAGGTGTGTGTATAGGATTGCAGCATTAGTCAATTTAGGCTAAAATCATAAATACAGCTGAAGAGCATCTCATATGATGAACTAAAAATCCTATACGGTAATTCATTGACAGCCATAGATAGATAGATAGATAGATAGATAGATAGATAGATAGATAGATAGATAGATAGATAGATAGAGATAGAGATAGATAGATAGATAGATAGATAGATAGATAGATAGATAGATAGATAGATGATAGATAGATAGATAGATAGCCATCCTTGTCACAAATGAGGAATCTGTGTTGCCCCAGATGATGTTGGGACGACAGCTCCCACAGTAAAACCTGAACATGGCCCTTGCTGGCTGGATCTGATGGGGCTTTTAATGAATAAATTAAAGTCCAAAAGCACCTGGCATGCCAGGTACAGGAGTCTTAACAACAGCTGGAGGTCCCCTCTGGTCCTCACTTTGACAGATAGTAGAAGCATTAAGAAGGATAGAAACATCCCTATTATTTTTCACTTTGGTATGATTTGAGAAAAACAGGGCAGTATCTTTCCATCTTATAAATGGTTATAACATATTTGAAGCTGCTTCTGTTCTCCCTCATATAAAGCTCTTCTAGCTACTACCAGAGTGAGAGGAGGAGGAGGAGGAGGAGAAGGATTTTGCCCTTCAGGCAACATCTGCTTGAACACTTGCATATAGATGCTCTGTAGCTTTCTGGCTTCCTTCCTTCCTTTTACTTTAATCTGATCCTGCTACAGAGTCACGCTTTCTGAAAACACTGGTGTGCAACTTAAGTTCCTCCAAAGAAGGCATCTGTGTTTGCCGTGGTATGGCAGCAAGAAGGCATTTATTTATTTCATTGCACTGGTGGCCAGACAAGTTGTTTATATCACCCGTAGCCATTTAATGTAATGCAAAAGGCTATGCTTGAAAGATGGGAGTTGCCATTCATAGTGGGAAACTTCCCTTTCCTTTCTTGTGTAGTATAAATATATTTTGGACCTCAGTCTTTCAATGTGTTTCCTGCAACGCAAGCATATAATATATCTAGAATGATTGGGTATTAGTGATGGCCACTTTTTTTTTCCCAGAAGGAAGATTTCTACAAAATAATAATGAGAAGCTGATGTATAAAGTGGCAATTATGCAAAGCACATTAAGGAGGGTTTTTTTGGGGGGAGGGGGAGAGAAGCAATTACTGAAGAGGGATTATGGCAAGTAGCTGAAAGGGCCCTATTTACATGTTTGAAACAATAAATGCACTGTAAATCATTCAAGTGATAATTTTGGGGCTCTGAGAAAAGAGAAAGCTTTGCAGGGTTGTCACAATACAGCTATGTCCAAGCCAACAATGTTCCTGCCTTGGAATTTGCTAGGTTTCTTTTTTTAATTAAGAAACAAAACACCCATAAACATAGCATGTTTCACATGCGGTCTCTACATTGGCATTAAAAAATCCCCAAGAAACTCAGTTTCTTCATTTGCTAACAACAAATGAATGGTCCCAGTTTTTCCACATAAAGGCATTTTGCCATC